TATTTATGAAATTCTCAGTCATGCGTGGTTTAGTGAGGGTTTATCGTCTTTTACATGTTATTAAATGCAACGCACATAGGAGAGCTTTTTGATGGTTCGACTGAGCTATAGAATATCATCTATTACAGTCTAACGTCTCTCGCTTTGTTTCTTATTAGAAATAGCTTTCTTAAGGTATACGGCTCTTGAGAGATTCCCTAGCGCATCTTCGATGTGAGGATTTTTAGAGAAAATGAGTATTTTAACCCTTGACTATTTTTGTGGTACCTCACTATGCTCTTTTCACTCGACTGGTCTCTTAGTTCGAGGTCCGTTGCACACTTCCGTTCCATTTTAATACTGTGAAGCAGGTAAGAGTAATTGAATGCAGATTCACTTGATCTCCACCGTGACCGTCTAGTAGAATCACTGGTTATACAAAGAAATCGTGTTCACCACCAAACTAGTATTTGACACTGGCCTCTCTAGACCTTTAAGATTTTATCGTGAGAATATCGATGGAGAATACCATTTTCAGTGTGCCCACATTTTTATTATAGTTTATCGAATTCTACTTACGATATAGGTTTCAGGATTTCAGAACCAAAATTGAATCAAAATGCAAGTAATACGCAAGTGTTCAAAGAACCGATTGCAAAAATCATTTAGTCTCGTTATTTCCAATAAGTGGAATAATCTCGTTATCGTTTCTATATTGTAAAAATTCGCTAAGACAACAGAATCCTAACGTTTCGGTATTTTCGAATGCTTTTAGGTAATGGACACAAAGACTTTACCTGATCCAACATAAAAAGTATAGTATACAGTTGCTAACAAGGAAGAAGCTGTCATGGCAATGAGGATTTGACCAACATGCGTTCTCTACAAAAAAATGCCGAATATTCTCTGCCAGATTTAGCTAATTTTTGTTCTTCACCGTATACGGTTTTGATGGTTTCTTTAGTTACTAAACTGAAAAAACATTCAAATCTCACCAGCTTTTTAACAGTGGCATAGACTGCAGAGAATCCTGCAAAAATCACAGCTAACTAGATGAATCTTGAGAGAAAAGACGAAGTCGAAGAAGTAAAAACTCGTGACGAAAAATGAAGCATGAGAAAAAAAAGATGATCTTATAAAGAAGTATTTTTACCGAATTCCACGGAGTGAGCTTACACAGAGTTGCTACATGATATTTGTTCGGCTCATGTTACAGTTTATGCCTTTCAGAGCCAACTAATCCGAGTTGATAATCCACTTGTCTAAGCTATGTGGATCTTCGGAGTCGCACCGAGTCAACTTCTCAACAGCAGCACCGTTTGTATATAGAGATACTGCCTAGTGAGGTTCCTACATTTGAACGGTGCTTCACTCAGGATGATTCGCGGTACTACGTCGAAGACCTACAACGCGAAGACAAGCTACTGTGTGCCAGTTGGTGGCATTGCCTCAATTTCCTCATGAGGACATTTGGGTTGCATTTTCATGAAGTTCGAGGAATTATATGGCGAAAGAAGAAAACGTAGGCCCAACATTTCTCCAAACGTGCCCAAACTATCAGACCATCCCCATTATATCAAGGTCTTTTGAGAACGACCAAATTTGAAATATAAAATACTGAATAGAAAAGTAGAGCAAGAGATCATGGGACAACCCAAATTAATGTTCCACTTGACGGCGATTGTGTAAATCATTCGTCGTTGCCTACCTCTTCACAGGGAAGTAGGAGCCCCCCGAAAGGATTGGCTGAAGACGAAAGCTGCCCGACTGACGAGGCTACAAGGCCGAAACACGTGTATCGAGCTGTTTAAGAACCCATCAACAGATCGCATGACATGTTGGCTTGAATAATAATAATCAGATATATCCAAATCACTGCCTTTTCCTCCTCTTAATCCTAACCATTGAATTTCGAAATGGGCTACAATACCCTCGTAGTTTCTTTTGTTCACTGAATCATCTCGGAATGACGTTCATATTGTTGCATGTAATATTCATGTGGATATTGACTATTATTGCTACAAAGTTATTGTTTTGTTCATGTTATCGTTCTATTGCTACTGTTTTTTTGGCTTTTCGATATCGCCTTATCGATACAATTTTGCCAAAACTATTCACTGCCACCCTACAAAACGTCATGCGAACATTAGAATGGGGCGATATGGGAGTGAAAATTGGCTTTCGACAATTAGACCATCTTCGCTTTGCTGACGATATCGTTCTCACAACACCAAACATCAGCCAAGCGAAACAAATATTGACCGTTTTCGATAACGCCTGTGGAAAGATTGGTCTTCAACTAAATCTAACGAAAACGATGTTCATGAGGAACGGATGGGTTTTAAATGCCCCATTCACGCTTAACGGAACGACAATCTCCGAATGCTCCAGTTACGTCTATCTAGGTCATGAAATTAACATGATTAATGACCTAGCTCCAGAGTTGAGCAGGAGGAAACGAGCGGCATGGGTAACGTTTAAGAGCATCAAAGATGTAGTGAAGAGGACTAAGAACATCCGACTCCGTGCCCACCTTTTCGAGTCGACGATTATTCCTGCCTCAACGTATGCAGCAGAAACCTCGTCGCTACGTAAGCATGAGGAACGACCACTTCGTGTTATTGAACGCGCAGTCAAAACGTCGATGCTAGGAGTATCCCGTATCTTGCAAATCAGAGAAAAGATCCAAAGTTTCGACCTACGTCAACGATCGAAAATCAGAGACGCCGTTCTACACGCCAGGATTTCGAAAATAAGGTGGGCCGGAAAAGTGATGCGCTTCAACGAAAACCGATGGACGAGAGCCGTTACCGACTGGATTCCTTGGGACGTCAAGCGCTCTAAAGGAAGACCACTGACCCGTTGGTCCGATTTCTTCACGAAAGCGATAGAAGAAAGATATGATGCTCAGCGAATCCCTAGAGCGAGGAGGACCCACTGGACTACTCTTGCACGCGATAAGGAAAAATGGAAGCGTTGCTGGTACCCGCTCGAGTCACTCGACGATCAACGGGACGACAGGTGTTGCAGGTGATCGCCTTATAGTTTCAGATACCCAATTTTGGTTTTTGACGTTGTGACCAATTAGAACGACTTGCATGGCACATCAATACACATCTTCCCATAGAACACACATGTCAACTACTTTCCATTAGCGTTTCATATAAGAAAAAGGATAAAACTCCCAAAATTGACCAATCTTTAAGGAATACGCCATATATTCGCTTTCCTTTAAAAACTTTGAATTGATTGAATGCATATCTAGCCTTATCAGTGACTCGCAATGGCTCAGCAGTGTATCAGACACTGCTGCTATACTCGCAGTCGAGGGCTCAGAAGAGCTTGCTGAGCCCTGAGAGCAGAATCGACCAATGATTGATCCACCTGAGTGTCGCAGAGCACTTCTATCCACTCTGACACAAGCGCTCCCGTTCTATATGTATAATCCAATCGATGCAGAGTTATATTTTTATTGGCCAGACATATTCGAAAGAATAATCATCGTAAAAAATGGTAGGGAAATATCAACACAAAATGTTTGAATAATGTAATAATGTGTATTGTCATAGCTACAATAGAGCTGAAGGAGTTCTATAGTCGAATAGTCTGCCTGAGTAATTACGGTATCTATTTACTAGTAATATAGTTACACAGAGTGCATTTGGCGCAATGGTTAAAGGTGCTTTACGTCGGACACAAGGTCGATAGTTCGTCCTCGCACTCATGACTCACCAAGTCATCCTTCCCTTCGTGTCGCTAATTGGTACAGGGACTGATCTCAGACTTGTCTAGGAGGAAAAGCAGCACTGACTCAGTACAGCGGGAGGCCACCACGAGTCTTTGTAAAGACCAAATATGCATTCAATTACCTCAAACCAAGTCAAAAATAAAATACGGTTGCATGGCGCATCTCTCAGGAATTGATCAACGCGAGAGGTATATCGTTCATTCTGAAGTCGCACGAAGGGCCTCATTTTTGGCAGTTCATGGAGATGAGCGCTAATGTTTGCCTATAGATTTCGAGAATGACTGCTATGACTGATTTCTGATCGAGGTACGATATTGACAGCTATATTTTTTCCGATAATTGAAGTATAACGAGTATCTTCTGACAAAAGAGATTGCTGTCCATGTGAAGTTGGTTTATGCTGATACTGTCTTTTGTGTAGAAATTATATCTGTCAGAAAATGTTTTCAACAAGAATCCCTTCAGTTTAACGGCTTTCAGCATGTGTATGATGTTATAAGAGCAAAAAAAGCAAGCGCTCGCGGAAAGGGTGAAATGATGGCTTGAATTCCATCTAAAGTGTATAGCATATCACTTAATTTATCAGATATATAATTAGTGCACATTTTTTTGTAGTCGACACATAATGATGTATATAATAGTGCTAGTCGCTCCCTTAAATCTAACAGCATCGAGATTACCCCAATAAAAAGGTGGCAAACATTGCGGCAACTGAATATAAAAATATACCAAACTTTCAGTGCTTTTACCACCTGACTAAATTATAAAAGTATACCAAACTTCTAGTGCTTTTATCACCTTTTCCGCAGTGTTATGATGTCTCGTATTCACCTAAGAGAATTGAGTGGCGAGCGAAAATGTGACCACACATGGGAGTCGAGTCCGTGTTTCAAATCGCATACTCGACCAAACCTATTGAAGGTTGGTGGGCGACAGCTATCACAGAGAAGTTGAAGTATGAGTGGTGGGGCAAATGTACCTCGTTGGTGTAGTGATAGTAGCATGCGCCTCCGGTATGGGTGGAACACGAGTTCGACTTCCTCCGAGATCACATTTTTTCTCACCATTTAATTCTCTTAGGTGTATATGAAAACATCATAACACAGTGAAAAGGGCAGTAAAAACATTAGAAATCTGGAGTATTACTTATCACAATGGCTGTCAGCTCATTTGGATTTATGAAGTGAAATCGCATACCCGACTAAACTTGTTAAAAGTTGGTGGCTGACAGCTTTCATAGAGATACTGAAGATTGAATGGTGTGGAGAATGTGGACTCGGTGGTGTAGTGGTAACACGCGTCCCCGGTATAGATGAAACGTGGGTTCGGCTCCCGTCTGAGTTCGTATTTTTGCTCACCTTCCAATTCTCTTAGATGTATGAAAATATACATGGCGTAAAAGAAAGAAGATAGAATACTTGCTCTTAATCTTTTTTTTTTTGAGCATCGTAGAAGCGAATGAATACTTTTTCGACCTATAGAATGGATTTTGGTGACTTGCTGATGCGTTATACCAGTGTTTTTTCCTCTTTCTGAGGCGATGTTGTACTTTAAACCAAGATGTCAACTTCGAGTAATTGAATTTTCAAATTGGCAATAGAGTAAATCAGTAACAGTGCAACGAGATCAATGACCGTGCGTACAAACTAGATAAATAATGACGTGAACAATAGGAAGAAACACAATAAAATGGTAAAAACAGTTTTCAAGAAATGGGTTTTTGCAAAAGGCAAAGCTTAATGAGAAACAGAAGGCATCCTACATACAGACAAACGGCTGCGCTCAGGCGAGAGCAGCCGCGGTGGTAAGTGGAATTGGCGAATTAAACATCAGCGCTTTCACGGTGTTCATGGAGAGGGTGGAGACACAGATTTAGCTGAGTGGTATGAATTGACACCTTACTATCTTTGGCCGATTTAGATCAAACAGGAATGGTTAGGATCGGTTAACTATACACTTCAATATCAGCACAGATAAAGCATAGATGTATACGTATCTTAGTTTGTCTAAACATATTATTTGAACATCTCGCCTCTTGGGTCTCTGCAAATGTGGTTTTCTCAACATGAGGGACGCTAGTATTGAGATCATAGTCGGATTAACTTAGTGATGTGAACTCCTTATCCAAAAACCGAACTAAGGTGACATTTACTTACTCATTTACTTATTAATTTACTTAATCACTGATCATACTTCATGGTTCGATTTCCTACAAGCTCTCCCTAATTCGTTTACTGGCAGTAAACCGATACTTCAGATATCCTTTGCTCTCGTGGTAGTCGGAGTGGGATGGACAACACTATAAAGCTAACTTTCCTTTTAAGCGGATTTCACGTGATTGAAATGATTGGCGGCATTTGTGTCACACTTCTCTCAGTTTGTCCCCCGATATCATTTATATGTGCACACTTACGAATGATATTACGAAGAGAGTATGGCTAATGGGTTAGCGAACTCGACCGATGGATCTTATGGAATATATTCTATTCAAATCTCTTGATGATAGCGTAATGCGCCTATGTATTCTACTATTTACTGAGGGCTATGGAACCTACGCATTTTTGACGGCATCTTGACGATGGTTTTTTGCAGCATGCGGACATTTTTTCTAGTTGATTGGAAACCCTTCCAGTAGGCATAGTTTGAATTTGGGCTGTCCTCCATAGATATATTAGAATGGATGAGTCTGCGGTGTAGCGGAGGAGTTGATCTGAGCCTCCACTCTTTTTCATTGCTATCGTGAAAAATATTACACAATACGTGTTGCGAGACTGTGCATCTCACGAGTTGATTAGCAATTCAAGCTTACATCCATCTCTTTGCTTTATTTGTGAGAGCTGTAAAAGCAGGGAGAACTTACATGAATCTTTGGAATTTCTATATAATTGAAGAAACTCGCTACTGCTGTAGATGCTTATTCCAAGGTTTGTTGAGGTTTTCCTCCTCTCTTGATTGAAGTTCATTCAACTTCTATAGAGCTTTTGGTCCTCTGAAGTTGATGGTATAGCTTTTAGGTGCCATTTTTGTTAAATTTCGCCTTTAACATCCGATGTTGGAGTGCATCCTTAATATGGCTTATGGGGCTTGATGAAAGTGTTACGTATCATACTTAAAGTCGACAGATTCCAGTTATCTTTTTTGCTCTTTGTTAGTAGTTTGGACAGATGGCTACAGTGAAACGTAAGAAGGTGCCTATGTTTTATACGCGGCAAAAAAGCGAGCGATTTCGATGTCTCAAAAGAATTCCTTCGACTGGTCTGCAGGAGTTTTCGAAGAGCTTCTTGGGTAGATAGCATAACAGCCGTGCGCTGATGCACTGCTGATGCTTGAAACAAAGCAATGAGTAGAATTGCCTATTTACACAGTTGTGTCGTGTTTTTGTTACAGGATGTTCTTCGATCAGTCAATGCATTACAGCCTTTCTTTTAAATGCCTTCACAATGAAGAGCTTTTCACATAATTGATTAAACTAATTTTTTAATTGGTTTTGTGCCGTATCGCACTCAGTTAATATTTCAAAATACGAAAACAAAAGAAATAGGCGGTGAAATAGTAAAAAATAATATGTAAGGCATGCTGTTGAGCGCATAATATCATATGGGCATCAGATCTTTAGTTATGACACATTTAATCATCAATGTAAGAAATCAGCGAGTTTAGCATCATCTCACTTTATGAAAGAGTTTCAATGATTCTGTTTCATTCTTTCGAAAACGAAATAACGTAGGTTTATTCTCTCCATTGACAACTTCATGCGACCTGTAAACAATCCACACGATCAATTTGGCTCAAAGATAAAAGCATCGCGGCTTCGGTTGAATGAAAATCTAAATTGATTTACTGCTAAGTATTAATGAAAGATTAACGACCATGTGAAGGTTAACTAAAGGCTAATTTTGCAAAAAAGCTATATATTTTCGAGAAAATGCTAAAAAACTCAAGAAAATTTCTTTGATCTGGAAATCTGTCGAAGCTTCGTGAGAACACGGAAAAGGAACAGTGTATTTTTTTGGATTATACTCTAGTTTTCCTAAGAATTTTGAGGTGCATACGCGTTTTGAAGAGGTATGTTACGAGGATAACTAAGAAAAAATTTACAACAGTTCCTTTCAAGTTGTAAATTTTAGATGCCTAAACATACATAGCAACCTTAGCCTCAGCCGCAAATACCCGGCTTGCGACTATAAATATCTCGAAGATGCTAACTGAGTCAACTAAATGTTTCTTCCTTATGTAATCAGTGTAAAAGATCCCATGACGGTCAACAGAACGAAGTCTAGTGAGCATTATGGTGCACAAGAAAGAACAGCTGGAGACTTTGATGACGTCTACTCGAGCATCGCTTACATTGGGAATTTTGTAGTACACAATAAATAGGTGGTAAGAATAGCTATCGATCACTATGAAGACAGTATAGTAAGTAGCATATTTTCTAGAGGTTTTCTATGAGCGAAAGTATTCATATAGGACGCATATATAATACTGTATACGGAGGAAGTGCAATCAGAGTAACTCAGTTTTCGATTTGCAGATCCTAGCACTACTAGCATTCATTCGTTTTTCGCCTTCTTTTGAACGTCGTATAGTACTGGTTTAGCACATTTCCTTGCAAACTCGAGGCTTAGCTGTGGCGTTCCACAGGGCGTTCGTTATTGACTGCCGAAGATGGTGGAGGGGGTTGGAGTTTGGCTTACGTCTCGCGATGAGCATCACAACCAATCGCCACGGCGCCCCAGATTAAAGATGCAAGATCTCCAAAACAGTTATAGTCGTCAGCTAGTCTTTCGTATCTTTCTACTCACGCAAAGAATGGATCCGATCCAGAATCCTACCTCAGGGCGCGCTCGACTTGTCTCTTTCCACTTTAGCTACCAAAAACCTTTTTTTCAGGCTTATATCCTAGTCGCTAATTTTTCTAACTGATCAAATTGTAGTCCATGCCATTTGCTCCACTGTAACTACGCGAACAGTTGAGTTTATGAGGAATGTATTCTACGCTGCAATTTGTTGCTCATAATCGTTTGCAGTGCTATCTCCTATCAGATCGAAAAAGCGCATGTTGTTCAGTTGCTAGAGAGGCTCTGTCAGACGCACGTGGCCAATGATCCGATCTCGCGCTTGAAGCTCACTAAACCTTCTGTCTCCCAGGGGTCTGTAACTTGGTGCCAGACTGTTCTGGGATTATAGTACCACTGCTTTCATACGTCGGCAGTCACCGTCATTGTAAAGGCCGGCTATGCAGCAATCACGTCAAACGATGCTAGATGAAGACCAATGATTGGCGCGCCCCTTGGGAATCGATCATCGCCGAGAGCTTCATCCTTCAACAGTCCGGACTCTATCTTCAGAAGCCTCACACTACGTTTTCTTTGCCAGAAACACTGCCAAAATTATATTTGATTAGAAGTGTTTCAATAGAGCGTAAAAATAAAAGACAGGAAATTACAATGGAAGAAGAAAAATAGCAAAAGGAGATTATGGAAAACCTGGCATCTTAGGCGATTTATTTAAAATTATATTCTTTGACTCAATTTTGGTCTGTAGGCGACTCCGTCGTTGGACCATTATAGCGGAATATGGTCATGTCGGTCACAATGATTTTGCTTGCGTCCTTGTGATAGTCTTGCAGGAATGTTATTGGGTTTTCACCGTTTTTAGGTGAGAATTCACCCGCTTCTTGTAGCAGAGGCGATTTATCTCATGGAGACTCGTATTTTGCCAGAACAACATTCTTGTGACTGCAGCAAATCCGGAGTGAAATTTACCGTTCACTCAGGATGTCGATCCATTACTACTGATGTCGCCAGTGTTGCTGGTGCCCGCTCGGGTCACTCACGTTCAACGGGATGACAGATGATGCAAGTGGTGATGTTGAAATACTTGCCGAAATCACATAATCAAAACTTTGCAGGGAGCTTCACCTTGCAAACTAAGACTTTCTAATTTCTACTCAACATCTGACCCATTAAGTGAAACTCTAAGTGCATTCTCACTACCACAATAGAAGTAGAGGGATTTTATTGATCTTAGGAGAATCGAATGTAACTTTATGATAAGCAATTGATTGCAAGCTTTACAGTAGCGATCTTAGACTTTTCATACCGCATCATAGGTGATGCTCTATCAAAAGGTGATGTTAAAATCAGTTGTAACTAGTGCTCACTGCTTATGAATATAAGTTCGCATGCATGTCAGCAATTGTCCCCAATAAACATCAACCACCCTTTTCATGCGAATCGACAAAACTTTGTGGCTAATTATGCGAAAAGCAGAGTGCAATGTAAAGAACTCTAAACCTGATGCGAATATAATCCCGCGATTAGGCGATAAGCAAACCGGAATGTT